TCTAGAGGCACAGATTATTGTGTGTGGTTCCAGGAAATATCCAGATCCCCACCACTGAGGGAAATGAAAATTACAGAGGGGTGGGAGTTTAAAAACCCCAGAATTTCCAGAGGGGAGAATGGTTAAGATGCCAAATTCATATCCAGATGGTTAAGGCAAAACAAGTGATTCACTTTGTAAATGTTAAGTGCCCTACCTTTGCTGGTCATTCATAAGCCAACATTTTCCATGCCATGTTGTTTTTCTTTTTCTTAATTCTTTGGAAGTAAACTCATGTAAACTTTGCAAAAGAGATAAAGTAAAAACTACCTGTGTTTGAAGGGGTAGTGTCACACCAAAAAATAACGGTGTAGTTTTGTTGCCAGTAACCATCGAAGTGTACTGGAACAGTTCTTTGTTGTTTGCAGCCAAGGATGGAGAAGATGGAAATCGATTGAAACTTGAGAAAACTGGCCAGTTTTTTCAAGTTTGGAGATGGTGTCTTCAAAAATTCGCCAAAAATTAAATACGAATAGCTCTTTGTGCCATAAATACACTGTGGGTTGTCAGGATTGTTGTTGTACTATGTGGGAGCTAAAGTACCAAATTTTTACCCAGTTTTGACAGTGCCCCATTAAATACAGTAAATGTAGATCATGATGTGATGGTTACTATTAGCTATAATGAATGCATCTAAGAGAATCTGATTTAAAACAGAGTAATCAATCACTTTCCAGTCTGGGCTTCTGATAGGATGCGGAAAAAATTAACGATTATGCGTAAATTTTTGACCATATTATGGGTAAACATGCGTTGATTATGCGGAAATTACACCGGATTATGCGGAAATTTGAACAATTACTAAAACTAATAATTAGGCCCTTCCAATGTATTTACATGCTTATGGTATATCAGGACTCGAAATTGCGATCAATACAGTCGCATTTGTGACTGAATTATTTCCCTTTGTGATTAGAATATATGGAGGAGTCACAATTTGCGACCAGCATTCACCGTTGAAATAAAAGGGTTTTAGCAGTTGGCATTTCGCCGCAACTTTCGCTAAAATGAATAAAGCCATGAAATATTATTTTGTTTCTCGTCATGAATTTTGTCTCAATTTTTAGACATGGAGCAAAATTGTAATATGGTTGGACCGCGATCCATTTCCTCAATCATTGACCATTTTCAGCGGTTTTTTACACATATGTATTGCGGGCTCCTATTTTCCCTAAGATTACAAATGATACAATCTGATACAATTTAATTTGGGACTATAACTTGCACCGGAATTTTCATACATCTTGTCGCAAAATTGCGACCGGATATTTGTATTTTATAACACAGGATATTTTGTAACTTATAACACAGATTCTAGTGTCCAGGCTCATTGCCGAAAAATGCGTGGAAACTGTTCACGACCTTTCATCTTGCGAACGAAATGACATGTTTTCTTCAATCGATCTTCAATGTTCAGGAAAATAAACGTTTCAAAGCAGTCAATCTCTTTGGCTTTTATGTTTGTGAGGATGGTAAGCAGCTGTTTTATCATTAATATCAGGCATTTCTTCTGTTTATGCGGAAAATATCGTAATTATGCGGAGGATGCGGATTTTAGGGAATTATGCAGATCCGCATCGCCGCATCCTGTCAGATGCCATGTTTCCTTTTGTTAAGAACCTAAATTCTTTGCAAAAGTCTACAATTTGGCAACATAAGTACAGAAAAAATAGCAACTCATGAATCTCTAATGTTTTTTTTTTGAGATATCAGATTAGTAGTTCTATCCCAGACTAAAAAAGAAATCATACTCTTTGCAGTGGTTAATGTCTGTCTTCCCATACATATGTCTTTCTATTGGGTGTTTACACACTGAATCAAAGGGAAATTTGTAGTGCTAGAAATTCCAGGAAATTCTGACTGACTGTTCATGGAAATATCTTCTTTGGCAGTACTGTCACCATAGTAAGGGTAATCCAATCAGAAAATGTCATTGCTTGTGTTGAGTGGTC